GGCCCCGGGCATCGCCCCCGCCCCGCTGCCGAGCCTGCGCCGGGCCCAAAGTTTGAGGGGCGACCGCGGAGAGGGCGAGCCGCGTGGCCCTCGCGGAGTGGGGGGCGGCCAGGGCCGGCCTGAGTCCCCATCGTCCTGAGCCAGCCGGGTTGAGGACGATGGGACTGCAGGCATCTAGCGCCAGGTTGGCAGAGGATGCGGGGAGAGGAAGCGGGCGAGGGAGAGCTGAGACCCTGATGGGGAAGGAAAGGGGAGAGGCGGAGATCCGGGGAGGGGTTCTCGGCCCAGGCTAGCCCAACCTGTTAAAGTTGCTTAAAATGGAATCGGTCGTGGGTTAGGGGTCATGGTGTCCCCCCATAATAGGGCTTCTGCATGTTCTGTGCACGCAGCCCATTTGGGTTGTCTAGGGCACCGAGAGAATTCGATCTCTGCCAGCTGTGCTGCCTTGCCTTGCCAGGCTAGGCAAGCAGGTGCCCTCCAGGTGGTGCAGCCCACGGCCTCCATGGCCTTTGGTGAGGTTGCTGCTTCTTGGGGTTGGTAGGCTCTGATGATCAGACATCTGGAGGAGCCCAGCAGGCCTGGCCTGGCCTGGCCTGGCCTGGCCTGGCCTGGCCTGGCAGAAGGAACTCCGCTCAACAGCTGGAGGCGGCTCCTCTCTGCCCTCGTGCCCAAGAGATGTTGTGCTGGTGAGAGATTCTCCAAAAGCAAAGTGTTGAAATGCTGCGCATCTGGAGGGAACAGATTGCCCTAGGCTGGTTGGCCTGAAAACCAGGAAAAGGGGGCCATCTGTAACCACCCAGAAGACCCAGCCGGTGAGGGACGCTGGGAATTGTAGGTGAACGACATCTGGAAGCCCAAAGGCTGCCCGCTCTGATTCTCAGTGAACTGGCCTCCTGCTGACAGCTTCCTACAGGAGAGACCCAGAATGGATGCATTGAAAGGGGTCTCCAAGGCCATCTAGTCCAACCCCATGTACAGTGCAGGAAACTGCTAAACCGTCCCTGACAGATGGGCAGCGAGCCCTAATTTTAGAAGGGGAACCCGCCCGTGTCCTAGGCCGATGATTCACTGCTTAATGGCTCTTCCCACAAGAAATTCCTTCTCATATCCCATTGGAATCGCCTTTCTTTGCGTTTCAAGCCATGGCACGGAACGATCACACTTTGGATGTGGGACGGTCCTTGTTCAATCCCTGGCATTTTCAGACCGACATGAAAAATCAGTGCCACGCAGTGGGTCCAAGTCCTGGGTTCCTTTTCAAGCGGTCCTTTATTCAGAATCCTGAGGACTGGAAAGTCCAATTGGTGCTATTTTGACATTTTCTTATATTTGTAATTTGACAGCTCAGGGCCAGAATTTGGGGGTTGGTGGGAGGGCTTCACGGATGGTAAAATGGTGTGTGTGTGGGGGACATGCACTGGGTCCCTGCAGGGCAGGGGGTGGGATAGATAATCTCCAAGTTCCGTTCCAACCTTCCATTCCGTGATTGCGCATGGCCCAGAATTATGTCTACCAGCTTGCACTAAACTGGGTTGGGAAAGGAATGACTCAGTGCACACAACGACCCTAACAGGATGACTGAATTAATCCGTTTTCGAGGTTTGTATAATGCCCTGAACCTGAACGAGCCAAAGAGGCTGGCTTGGGACAACAGGTTGTCCCAAGGGTGTAATCCAACACACCCACCCTAACTGAGATGAAAACAAACTAACCGTGTGCGTGCAGTCTTGTTCGACTGACCAGGGTTAAGTGTAACGTCTGAACTTCTTTGGATTCACTCTTTTCCTCCTCTCCCTTTCTTTCTTCCAAGGGATTCCTGGCAGCAGTGCCCCCCACATCACCATGGTGAAGATCTTTGTTGGGGGGCTTTCTCCCGTGGTCACGGCCGAAGAGCTGCGGAAGCTGTTCGAGCAGTACGGGCAGGTGAATGAGTGCGACATTCTGAAGAATTTTGCCTTCGTCCACATGGAGAAGGAGGATGAGGCCCACCAGGCCATCAGCACCTTGCACAAGAGCGAGTTCTACGGGGCCCACTTGACGGTGGAGTACGCCACCTCCAAGATCCGCAACGCCACCAAGATCTACGTGGGGAACGTCTCGGCCAAAGCCACCACCGCCCAGATCCGCCAGCTCTTCGAGCGGTTCGGCAAAGTGGTGGAATGCGACATCGTCAAGAACTTCGCCTTTGTCCACATGGCCAAGGAGCGGGAAGCCATGGACGCCATCTTGAATCTCAATGACACCCCCCTGGAGGATCAGAAAATTTTTGTGACCCTTTCCAAGAGTAACAGTTCCCTCCGGGCCACGAAGGGGGCCTCCGTGCCCACCCCGCCCACCCCGACCCCCAGCTACTACTTCTCCAGGGGCCGCGTGCCCCCTCCACCAGCCACCTATTCGCCCTACTGTCCTCGAGCGTGGTACGACCGGGAGTACTGCGACCAGTACACGTACGAGCTCTACGACCGCGCGCGAGCAGCTTATGACCGAGCGC